GTGTGTGTGTGTGTGTGTGTGTGTGTGTGTGTGTGTGTGTGTGTGTGTGTGTGTGTGTATGTGTGTGTGTTGTTGTGTGTGTGTGTGTGTGTGTGTGTGTGTGTGTGTGTGTGTGTGTGTGTGTGTGTGTGTGTGTGTGTATGGGTGCGTGTGCGTGTGTGCGTGTATGCGCATGTGTGTGTGTGTGTTATTATATTATATAGGAACGACAGTTATATATATATATATGATGTTACAATTTTACGGCGTAGTTTTGTTATTGTAAGAAAGGCAACCGCGAGAAAATATACCAGCTACCTTACAGGCCGCATTTCCGCATATGTACGACATTTTTCTCAGAAAATGGCATTTATTCGTGAATAAATGTGACTTCTTATACCCGACGCGTTACGAACACTCGACAATGGAGAAAACTCAGTCTGTCTTGCTGAGATATAGATATAGATATAGATATAGATATAGATGGCCTGATTCTCATTTATATCATATCGTACAACTATACACGAGTTTAGTAGTTATATCTAGTTCACGTATGAATGCTTTATATCGACATTGCTATAGCGTGTGCATCCTTGATGTCGCGATATCACACTCACGAGATCAAGGGTTCAGCGCGGCGGCTGTGAACTCAAGTCTAATCCGAAGATTAAGGCATAAACGCTCAATCCGTCTGGGAGCCTGGGGGGCTTAGAGAAGAATTCGCTGGTAGCGTGGGCACTACATACACATCTCATCCGTTTAGCTCAGTCTCACGGTAACCTAGATCCGCTAGCTAGCGACGTTCGGCACACGGTGGTCGTGCATTCATGTTGCACTGACAAACCAAGAGACCCGTTCTACTAAGTGGGCGACGCCGTACGTTGACATCTCCACGCAAATCCCCGCAAATATAGAGATCTACGACCCTATACCTCCACAGTCACAGTCTCTCTGCCTCTCTAGTTACACTCGCTCGTTTACAGTGCGTGTAGATTAATGGTCCTGTCATAACTATTACGATGAATTAATCTCCCCACTATGTATCTCCCCATCTCCACCCACGATGTCTACCCACCCAATCACCGAATCACCTAATCACCTAATCACCTAATCTCCCCACCCACTGCCTACGCGCGCTATAGTAGAAAGTTGGAGAGTACGCATGTTCATTGAATGATGATTTAGCTCCAATGGCTGGTTTACAATAAAGCAGAGCCGACCATGACCGTGTTGGCGTTTATACACGTTTACACGAGCTTCTTACCATAGTATCGATGTACTAGACATCAAATAAACACGGACCCTGAGGAGATTTTGGAATAGCTGCATACGAATTCACCCACTACACGGTAACGGGCGAATGATTGTGTTACTTATGAACCATGTTACACCTTGCGTTGAATGGATAACATTTTCAAATACTGGTCGAGACAAGAACAGAATACTAAGTATAGCGCGATGTATCAAGTTTTCCATAGTTTTAACTTTGAGATCTATCTATCTATCTATCTATCTATCTATCTTCTATCTATCTATCTATCTATCTATCTATCTTCTATCTATCTATCTATCTATCTATCTATCTATCACACACACACACACACATTTATTGAAATCATTCATGATTTTTAGCATCTTCGCGGACGCTAGTTAGATATTCTACAGATCGTAGTTTGTACTTCGTCACCAACACGAACATCGAACGACAAAAAAACGAAGAGAAAGAAACGACAGAACTAGAAGACAGACGAGGTAAATATTGCTTCATCTACCCGGGCAATCGTTCATATAGAGCGGCTCCTTCTTCGTGTCGTCCGGAGTTTTCGGCAGTGCACGCTGGGGAGCGTCGGCGACGGAGTGGCAGCGGGAGCGAATCTGTGTTGTTGTCGTGTTGTTGTCAACGTTATCGGCGGTAAGCGTCTCCTGGCTGCTCGCTCTGCTGCTCGTTCGGCTGCTGCACCGCGGCGAAATGTCGTCGTAGATGTCGTAGTCAATCTCAGGCTCTTTAGAAAGTCAATTCATCAATTTATTTATTTTTATTGTCGAATTAACACAGGTTCGTCACACACGAGGTCTTACGTGTGACATATGCCACGTCATGCGTCGTAACAATAGGGAATCATTCCTGTCGCCGTGGCCTCTGGGTTAGTTTGAACGTACTATCGGTAGTAGTGTAGGTTAGTGGACTGAAACTACGAACATATCCATAGTCTCTACTATAGAATAGCATATAGTATGCAGATATGTTCGTTCTAATACAGCTATTCAGTTCTAGTTTCTCATGAAATCCTGCTACTTTAGGCATTCTAAAATCAGATAACAGTTGAACCTCGCAAAGTGGTGATTTTTGCAGTTAATATTTTTAACGCGACGGCACGATAGTCACTAGTTTATAAGATATTATATTTTAAGAATAATAAATTAAAGAAATATAACGCAGTTTGTTTCATTTCTTACACTTGGTATTTTACTATTAATAGTGTTGTTACTGTATCCATTATAAGTATATTGCGGGTGTAATATATCTAGTAGACACGGAGGTATTTAATTCGATAAGTGCAAAGAAATATCTACACGTTCGAAGAGAATATTATCATATCATACCTCGAACCGCCTCATAGTCCTTGTGTTTCCGCGTCCCACCAAATCCTGTGAACCCTGAAACAGACAAATTTAGGCCAATCGGATTATAACAACATTATAAGAGTCCGGCGCGTTATTATACTTAATCTACGAATCCAATTGTCAATATTGTCGAATAGTTCCAATGGTTACTGTGTGTGTTGTTGGTGGAGCCACTGGTCACAGACTGGCCAACGTAGCCGAATGCGTCTGGAGTCTTGATGCCGAGGGTGTCCCAATTGTTTGTAACCATCGGGACCAGCCCAGGGTTCAGCTTCATGAAGTAAATGAGTGTGTCAGTCAGTGATGGTTGCCGTGGATGCTGAAAGACAAGAGAGGAGGATGAGACGCTGCATATTCAGCGTACTGCGCATGCGCGGATATAAATCAGCGTCACGAATAGCCGTGGCATTCTGTCATCATGATTCGTTGGCAAATCTAATGGTTTTTAATGTTTATTTAATAGGTATAGTTATCGATTACCTTTCCGGGACCAACTATTAGTTCAAATTCGATGTCATCCGATGCCAGGGTGTGGGCCTCGACTTCATAATGACAAATCTCAATCGAGCTGCGAACACAAACCCAGCACAGAACATTTGTTAACACCGAGAAAAAAATCACTCGATATGTCGTTTATTACATATCGTATCAGTGAACCTTCATTCGTAGCTTGGTATACATGTTTATATTCAGGTCATGGTAGAATTATTACAACAATGGACGCCTTGTTGTTCACGTTGACACACCCTACCGGCTGCAATTTCAGGAAAGACCCAGCTGATACAAAAGAACGATAAAAAATGCTCCCTTTATTCACAATAGCGTGCATTCGTGCAAATAGAATTGGTTATTATATTTACGCACGCAAAAAGTCAGTAAAAATTCAATAACATGTAAATGCACTCTGCGTTTTACTAAAGGAGAATATATATATCGTAATAAAAATGGCGTTATTGGGAACACGTCGCGGACAACAACAAGGTTCAACCCTGCCAGTGTTCCACGCGTTGGTGTCGAAACTGTATGTCGGTCTGTCGGATTACCAGTCGTACTTACTTTCCGTGATCGTATCTCGCCGAAATGACGTAGTTCCCGCTGTATGAGTTACTCTGTCGCACCAAGATGTTTCCGTATTTCTTGCCTCGGGTCAGGACGACCTCGGCGCTATTTCGCGACATGTTCTCAAAGAACCAGCTGCGAGTAAAATCAACATGATGATAGAATGCTTTTACCTGCTGCAACAACTCTGGCGGGTAGCACACATATATATATATCTCACATCAACACACACGCGCGCGCGGACACGCACACGCGCACACGCACACGCACACGCACACGCACACTCACGAACCACCAACGCACGCACGCATCGCACGCACGCACGCACACACACAACACACACACACACACACCCACACACATGTATATTGTCTTACATCAAATACACGCT